CGCCAGGGAGCCCCTGCCCCCACCCCCTCCAGCCCACCCACCGCTGCCCCATAGTGCGCACCTCCTTAAGTGTGGTCTCCACGAGTGTGCTAAGCTTGGAGAGGACCTCTTTGACCTGTACCAGAATCTGGAAAACAGGACAGACTGTGAGTGGGACCAGCTGGAGGGCCTGCCACCACCCTGGGCCCTGGGAACCCGGACTGCCCAGAAGACACTGCTGCGCTGAGGCAGAGTGGGCAGAGGAGGAAGGGGAGGGAAGGCCCGGATGAGTGGGTGCTGGCCGGGGCTGGAGGTGGCCTCTAAGCTGTGTTCTGGGTGGCCTGTGTGGTGTATAAACATCAGGATTATTTCACATAAAAACCTTGATTCTTTCTTTCTCTTATAGTAATCAGCATCATGAGGAAACATACAGATGAATCCAGATTGTAGACCAGCTTATAACACAAGTGACCTGGACACATCTAATGTCACTGTCATCAAAGAGTGTCCTCAAAAAGGTGTGAGACTTTCTAGATGAGAAAAGGTAAAAAGGCAGATCATATATAGTATTTGAGCCTTTAATGGATTCTGGATTTTTTTTAAAAAAGCCAAAAAAGATGTTTTGGGGAAAACTGGGAGAAATTAAAATATACGTCTGAGAAATGCAGATTAAAGATGACCTTGATAATGTCATGTATATTTGCCAGTGTTTCCAGATTTTATGGACGGCCTATGCACTGTTTGCTTTAGTCAACATTATCATATTAGTGGCAACTTGCCAAGGTGAGACAACTGAATGGCAGTCACACAGGAAAATGTCCTTGATTTTAGGAGATACAGGTTATAATGGCTGCAACTTATTCTCAAATGTTTCAGGAAAATAAAAGAAAAAAAGTACATGCACACACACGCACACACACACGCACACACACATGCACGCACACATAAGTAGACAAAGTAAATGTATCAAAATGTTAACAGTTGGTGACTCTAGGTGAAGGATACGTGGATGGTAATTGTACTGTTCTTTCAAACTTTCTGTATGTTTGGGTTTGACAATTTCCAAAATAAAAAGTTGGGAAGAAAATAAAAGTGTTAAAAAAAAAAAAAGTGTCAGACTGTAGAAAGTTGCAAAAGACTGTCACTCTCACCCTAATGATGAGAACAAGTCAAATAACCAACAAAATCAAATTAAAAAAAAAAATCATACGAAAGCCAAGAACTCAGAGAAACTGAAATTAATCAAACTGCAGACAGCGACGAGCCCCTCCTTGGGGCAAAGAAGCCATGTCTACTCTCCTCCTGGCAGTGCGGTGGGAGGGCAAGATCTGCCAAAGCTGAGTGCAAGGAGAAGCCAGTGGAACAAACTGGCTGTGTGAAAAAAAAAATAAAAAAAAAAAAAAAAAAACAAAAAAAAAACAAATAACCAACAAAATCAAATTAAAAAAAAAAATCATACGAAAGCCAAGAACTCAGAGAAACTGAAATTAATCAAACTGCAGACAGCGACGAGCCCCTCCTTGGGGCAAAGAAGCCATGTCTACTCTCCTCCTGGCAGTGCGGTGGGAGGGCAAGATCTGCCAAAGCTGAGTGCAAGGAGAAGCCAGTGGAACAAACTGGCTGTGTGTGGGCTGGTGTGACGGAGGAGAACCCCAGGGAGCCCAGCCTCAGTATGCCTCAGCCCCACCCTCCAACTCTCCCACACGGCTTCACAGAAGGCTGGGCCCAAGGAAGCAGGGTGGAGAGAGACCTCCTGAGGCACAGAAGTGGGGGGCGAGACTGCAGAGCAGAGAACTCCACAGCAACCTCAAAAATCAGGTGGCAGGGCTGAAAAACAGATCTCCCACAGTTCCCAAAGCTGGTGACTTTAAAATATCCCTGGAATTTTGCCAGGGCTAAGATCCTAAACCCTGCTGAAGGGAAAGTCCTCAAAACATTAAAGCCGGTGGAGGACTAATACAAACAAAAACTACCCCTAAACTGCAGATTAGGTCGACACAGCCCCTCACTCTTGCAGCCTAACAGAAGACAGGGGAGCCATTTCCTAAGAAAATATTTATTTACCTCAGTCTCTACTGTTCTTTTACATGAAATGTCTAGCATACAATAAAAAATTGACAACAGGACCTGGCCAGTTAGCTCAGTTTGTTAGAGCACAGGGGTCAAGGGTCAAGGGTACAGCTCCCTTACTGGCCACCCCCCCCCCAAAAGAAAGGAACTGACAACAGAGGCAGACTCTAAGATGAACCAGATGATGGAATGACAAGAGACTGTAAAATAACTCCAACAAATGTGTTAAAGGACCTTGTGGGAAAGGTGGACAACATGCATGAACACATGGGGCAGAGAGACAGAAACTATTAAAGAGCCCAACTAAATGGAAATGCTACAAATAAAAATACAGTATCAGAAATAAAGAATTCATTTGCTGGGCTTAACAGCAGTTAGAAAGAATCAGTGAACATGAAGACATCAGAAATTATCCAAACTGAGAAAAACAGACGGGAGCCGGCCTGTGGCTCACTCGGGAGAGTGTGGTGCTGATAACACCAAGGCCACGGGTTCGGATCCTATATAGGGATGGCCGGTTGTCTCACTTGCTGAGCGTGGTGCTGACAACACCAAGGCAAGGGATGAAATCCCCTTACCGGTCATCTTCAAAAAAAAAAAAAGAAAGAAAGAAAGAAAGAAAAAGAGGAAAAAAGTGGGAAAAAAACTCCAGTTAAGATTATGTGGAACAGTACCAAATTATCTAAAAAGCACATAATTAGATTTCCAAAAAGAGAGAAGAAATGGGAAGAAGAAATATGAGGTATTTCAAGAAGTTCATGGAAAGATTCGTATTACCTTTTAATTCCACTTTTCCACAAACTTTTTGAAGTACCCTTGTATATGAAGAAATAATGGCCATAGTCTTCCCAAAACAGATTAAAGATACTGACCCGCAGATTTGAAAAGCTCAGTGAATAAATACAGGATAAATACAAAAAAACACTTCAAGGCAAATGAAAGCCAAACTACTGAAAACCAAAGACAAAAACTTAAAACCAGTGAGGAAAAAGGACGGGCTGTATTAAAAGAGCAAAGATATTGAATAACACCTGAGTTCTCAATTGAAACAATGGAGGCCAGAAAACATTGGGAAAAGCATATTTAAAGCACTGAAAGAAAAAACATCAACCAGAATTTTACATCCAGCAAAGATATCTCTAAAAAATGAAGGCAAAATAAAAAAATTTTCAGGCAGAGGGAAGCTGAGAGAATTAAGTCTCCAGCATATGTGCACTTCAAGAAATGCTAAAAGTGTTTAGGCAGAGGGGCATGACAGCAGATTAAGCTTACAATTGCAAAAAGAAACAAGGATTAACAGAAAGGGTAAATATGTGGGTAAATATACCACATTCAAAAAAAAAGTTAGCTATATACGTATGAGAGTACTTCAAAAACTTCATGAAAAGATTCAAAATTTTCTTTCTTTTTTTTTTTTTTAAAGATGACCAGTAAGGGGATCTCAACCCTTGACTTGGGGTTGTCAGCACCACGCCCAGCCAGGGGGCAAAA